TTGCTCGGCGGTACCTTTGGAGAACACTCCTACCTTTTGTTTGTTCTACACTGTATACAGATGGACTGGCGTGTGTGTGTGTGCAGTCACCAGAGTCCTTTGTTTGGACAAGGAGATTATATGACAGGGACGTGTGCCCCCTTCCATCCTATGCTATATAGAAATTCTGCTTTTCACTTTCAGGAAAAGCAGGTGGTGGCAGGCCTCTTACTTCATTTGTTTTTTCTTTGCCTGAAGAACTTTATCTGTTTGGTATTCTTATTCACAGAATACTGGAGGCTGTGAAATGACACCAATTCATTCCTGAGATGGTGCTAAACATTTCTGAAAACAATTACAAGGAATTACAAAATACAGCATATTGCATCAAACAGGAGGCATTGCATTTTCCCACCATTTTTGGCAGCTTAAATGCATGCCAAGGATAAGTGGGAAAGGAGGTTCAGGTCCTGTCTAAAGTATTCTGCTGTGCATTGTTCAATAATGCTGCCAGAAGATAGCCAATGCAATGCAATTAAAGCCAAAGTCAATTAAATTAGGGAATGACTAGCACTGCGTTTCTGAACAGGAACTGTTCAAATAAGCAGGTAGTAAATGCTCAAGAAAAGAAAAACTCAGCATGAATTCAATTAGGAGAGGGCGAGGGCGCAGCAGCAGCAGATGACGAAGAAGAATTCCAAAACACAGAAATAAGTGAAAAGTATACTAGGACTGGCTCCACACTTACATTTTAGAAAAAATTGCTACCAGATCAATGTTACTTGGGCATTTACATCAGAATAAAGAGGAGACACCAGACCCGTGTGTTTAAATACCTATTGCTCCTAAATGTACATTCCCTGATGATTAAAAATGGACATGTAGCTGACACGTTAAATAAGCATAGATTACTTTATGTAGTTGTGTGACATGGCAGTACCCACAGCAATCGAGTCTACTGCATAAAATCAGCAATGCTCTTAGCAACATGGACATGCAACCTTATTAAAAATGAAAAAGAAACTATTAAAAGATACTGTTTGTGGCTTTGTGCATTTCATCCCACCTCAAATTTCAATGAGAAATTATCTTTTTGTGAAAAGGAAAAGAAAGTCATTGTTTGGGAGGGCAAACACAAGCATGTGTAAATTAACATAAAGGAAGTACTTTCAAATAAAGCCATATGTACTTTCGCCCACTCCTTTCAATAATGAAAGGGCAGCAGCTAATTTGTCAGTTTACAAAACATCTGAAGTCCTTGCAGAAGTAAGATTTTGAGACACATTTCAAAGATATCGAAAACAGATGACAGCTCTCTCTGCCGAAAGAATCAGTTTCTGACAAGAGCAGAGGAAATGCCAGTATGATAAGTTAAAGGATTAAGAAACCCACTCAGCAGCAGTAAAAATCTTTATTACCCACAGGCATGTTTCCTAAGCACCAGGTAGTCCTCTCAATTATCCTCTTTTTTTAACCTGCTAATGGGTTTTTTCTATTTGATCAGAGAACAATGTGCATCTTTAAAGGAGATAATAAAAAGATTATAGCATCTCTTATGTGACAGCTTGAATTACATATGTTGCCGGATCGCATGAGAGAATAAATGTTCTGACTCTATTCCAGGCAAACAGCAGCTCAGTTTTAGGCAGCTGCCATTGATCAGGGAGCATCGCCCCTCACTGTCAATTCTGTGAGCAATCAATCTGTGTGGCCAGCAGTAGCTTGGATCTGAAAGACCTTTGTTCAGGGTTAGGGAACTGCACGAGGTGAGGTTGTCGCAACAACACACCAGGGTGATCCCCTACCGGGCATTTTGTGTCATGTGAACCAGGTCAATATTCTCATTCACCTGTTCACTTCAACCCCAAGGTCTCTTTCTTGTTTGGTCACTGCCAGCTCATATAGGTTTAACTCTGATGGGGGAGTAGGCTGTCAGCTGCCACACATAAAGGCTATATGTTAACTCCATTATCAGAGGTGGTATGCAAGGGAACAGGGAGAAGGGTACTGTTGTATATGCAGGAGCTCTGCTTATGGGATCCCTGAAGGCACACGATTTGCTCCTGTGGGGACAGAATACTGGACTAGATAGGCCAGTGGTGGGCAGCGTGTGGCCCCCTACATGCTACCGGGCTGCGACTCAGGACCTGTGTGCCCTGAGGGAGGCCGCAGTCAGGAAGCCTGGATCAGGGAGCTTGTACCATCACCTGCTGAGGGGACCCAATGGGCCTGAAAGAACCATATTCTTCTTTCAAGAGCCAGTGTGGTGTAGTGGTTAAGAGCATGGGACTGGGGCTCAGGCGAACTGGGTTCTAGTCCCCGCTCAGCCATGGAGCCAACTGGGTGACTTTGGGCCAGTCACAGACTCTCAGCCCAACCTACCTCACAGGGTTGTTGTTGTGGGGATAAGATGGAGGAGGAGATGTAAGCTGCCTTGAGCCCTTTGTAGGAAAAAGGCAGGATATAAATCAATCAATAAATAAATATTCTCCTGTGGAAGAGGCTGGTAACATTTCTTTCAGTATTTAACAATGGTAAACCACCTTGGGTGTCTTACTTACTTACTTACTTACTTATTTATTTGGAATTTTTGTATGCTGTCCCATTCACATAAGCCTCAGGACGGCTTCCAACATCATAAACAAACAGTCTTGGTAGAACAGGGGCAAAGATGTATTAAATAGGTCCACTCTCATCAGCCCTAGCCGGCACAGCCAATTGTGAGAGAAGGTAAGAGCGGCAGAACACCCAGATCTGGGGGCCCATAAGATGCCCACCCCTGGGAGAAGTCTTTGGTCTGATCCAGCAGGGCTCTTCTTATGTTCCCAGTGCCCAGGGTACGTCTACCTACCCAAGCAACCCACCGGCCTTTTTCCCTGGCCCGGCAGGATTCCCAGGTCAGTCTCTGCGGTTTTCTCCTTGACGGTGTCTGCTGGGCTGTTGTGATGTGCTCGGGTTTCCCAGCTGCGAGGACCCAATTTTAGCAATTGGTTCCTCCTGCCCTGCAGTCTGTCAGGTCTGTCTAAGTCGCCCATGGCCCAGCATGCTAACAGTGTCTTGAGCTGGTTTCAGAGTGCCATGCTATTCAGTTTACGCCTATTTATTTATTCAAAGTTTTTCTATGCTGTCCCTCACTCAAAAAGTCTCTGGACAGCTTACAAGGAACAAACAAAGACCAAGGAACAAAAACCATAACAGCAACAATGCACAGCACACTGCATCTAAAAATAGTGATAAAAACAAGGATAAAACCAATTAATTGTTAAAATACCAGGAAAATAAAAAGGTCTTCACCTGATGCTAAAAAGAATAGAGTGACGCGCCAGGCAAACCTCCCTGGGGAGCATATCCCACAGTCAGGGCGCCACCACTGAAAAGGCCCTTCTCTGAGTAACTACCCTCCTGATTTCCTTCAAAGAGGGTTTCTGGAGAAGGGCCTCTGCCTCCAATCTAAAGGGCCAGGCCAGCACATAGGGAAGACGGCGCTCCTTCAGGTACTCAGGACCCAAGCTGTTTAGGGCCTTATTACCAATACCTTAAATTGGGCCCAGACTTCAGCTGGCAGCCAGTGTAAGCAACATAGGACTGGCATGATACCTACAATTATCTCACACAACAGTCGAAAATCTAGCTTTCATTTCATAGCCAGAACTCTCTCTTGTCTAATAAGATTATCATCACAAGAATAAGTGAACAAATCCTCTGCATACATCTTCAGATTTGCATTTTATAAAATTCTCTATTTTTTTTATAGACTGATCTGGCAAGAAGATGCAACCAGTGTTTCATTAATATTTAGAGCCTGAACCAAATTTGATTTTGTTGCCTTCAAGGTATGGGATTATGCTATTTGCATCCACTCTTGGACATACTGAAAAGCTCTTTCTAATTTTCCGAGTATGATCTAGGAAATCTTTCCCTCAGATTTTGTATGAGGTTGTGCAGAAAGGCTGAATAGTGCAATTAGCCATAAGTATTATAGGATTTTACCTCTACTAAGGTGCACAGGAGGGGTAGTTTAAACATTATAACAAACCACCATTTCCCAACAGGATGTCTTCCAGGTGTGTTGAACTAAATCTTCCAGAATTCCTCACAGAACATGGTGCCATCCAAACCAGATCTTGGCAAGGTGGGAAGCAGCTGACAAACCCGCAGTTATCTTGTAGGACTGGCATTTCTTTACTGCTGTTAAGATTTGGGATTTATAACTAGACATTTCATAATTTTAAAGAGATGAATCCAAGGTATATCAGACAGTACAGAACTTACTGTACAGTACAGAACTTAACCCTAACTTTAATATGAAATAAAAAGCACAGCAGACATCTTGGATTCCACCAAACTGTAACAAGGACACTTCCGTATCAGTCTCCTGTTTTATGGTCAGTTCTGAATGACTCCTTTGCAAAATTTGTTCATTATGATGGGAACAAGTTGCAGTGTGTCTCACTTGTACATTTCTCCCTTCCCTCTTAGCATGGAAGCAAGAAGGCAAGTTGGCCTGTTTGAAACAAACCATCATTAAGATCAACCAGTTTGTCCAGTTACTGCCTAACTCTAACACTGCTGTTAGCCAAAAATAAATCAAAGCAAAGCAAAAGAAGAGGTGAGCTTGCTGCAACTTGTTCCCATCACAGTGATCCATGGCTTTTTGCAAGGCTAAGTGACCTGGTAAACTCCAGATCTTTGGGATTACCACTGACATAACCCCTTATCATTGGCCATGCTCACTGGGGTTATGGAGTTCTAGCCCCAAACATCTGAAGGGCACAGTGTGCTTCCCCTTCGCTTACTGTGATGCCCGAACTACTTCAGTGTGTCAGGACTGGAACGCACAATGAAGGGATACCCTGAAGCTGTAGAATATATTTCACAGTAGGGATTCAGCTTCTGTAGCATCCCTGAGTGTTAGCTAGGGAGGAGAATGAACAGTTGACCAACCTGTCCTAGGCTGGATTTGTGAGGATGCATTTTTCAATTTCGAACAGAAAGTTAACCAGATGAGATCATAAACCTACTTGAGTAGATTTCCTAGATTGAAGAGGGCTCGGTTGTGCTGTGGATTTAGCTGGAGGGCTCTAGTGTAGTACTCCTTTGCCTCCACAAGGTCTTTGGTTAACGTCCCAAGGTTGTTCAGGGCACTTGCATGGCGTGGGTACAGCCTGGGGGAACAAAAGGAATCAGATCATCTTGCTGTAAATAAAGAAAACTACCCAGCCCCTGCCAACCATCCGGGAAACCCTAAGCTTTTCCAGCCCAATTATTATCCTTACAGTGAGTCCATGAAAGTAAATGAGGCTATGCAGCAAGAGCTGCTCTTATTATTTACTGCAGACCCAGCTTCTCACAGGTTTGAATAACCTCTAGTTTGATGCTGAGATTCAAACAAACCTGCACTGCTGGTTTGAGGGGGTGGGGGAGAGGTAAGCATATAACTGTGCCCCATGGCCCACTGTTCTCTTCTGGCTTCAAACAACATGGAATGCAAAGCTGTGGCCAGGAAGGGAATTCCATAGATGCTGATCAGGTCCTTAATTTTTTTGTATCCCGCCCTTTACAGTGTCTCAGGGCGGTGATAACATAAATAAGTAAGACACAGCCATGAGGTCCTTCCCCTCATAGCCATCCGCCTCGTCTCCAAAGGCAGGGGCACTTGGAGGAGGGCTGTGGAATACGTCACGCTTTATGGACCACTGAGGCAGGGGGTGGCTGTTTCCAAGGCAGGACGTGTCTTCGCTGGAAGAGGGCTGACGTTCCATTAAGAATGGTCAGAAAGGCAAAATTGCTGTACTTTGGGTGTGAATTGGCCAGTGGTCTTTGTCGGAAATGATCCTACATCGCAATTAAGGTGCAGGACAGCCTTTGTTCTGTCTTTGAAAGGGAGGAAAGGTCTGCCTGCATTTGATCCTAAAGGCTTTATTCTGAAATGCAGCCTTTCAGTTCAGAGCCACCCTTACAGAACACATGCGCGGGCACATGCACAACCACATATATGTCACTGGTATTGGTAACCATCTGCAAGCAATATCTTTTTTGCGATGTATCTCATTAGGCACAAAGTCCTCTTTGCTTCACCTAATCAAGCGCCAAGTGCTGCATTATTTATGAAAGAGAGCTGAATTTCATTAAAATGCTCACTAGGGCAGCCACTTTTACTTTAAAAAAATCAATTCTTCCATCTTTTCGAAATCCTAGGCACTTCCACTAAAAATGGCCTTTCCTTCATAATTAGAGCAAAAGACCTGAAACAGTGCAATTCATTATGCCCATGGGGGAGGGAGAAATTGGAAATAATACTTTAAATCAGGTTCAGCTTTGATTTCTGTACGTAAGAGAAGCCGGATGTTTTCTTGGGGCAAAATGAATTATTCAGAGGATTCCTTCAACCTCAAGGATCAATGTCGGCAGCCTGGCCTTGAACTATTCCAGGTCTATGCTACACAATATTCTGTTACCAATTATGGTGTCCTCTTTGCTCTCCAGACTTTGCGATTAAGCTATCCCTTCCCTCAAAGACTATACAATAAAAGAAGTTTCTCTGACTTGCCAAGATTGCTGAATTGTAACTTTGACACAAAAAGTTGTCAAGTGAGAAGGCAGAAATGGATTTCCATTTTTTAAGAGAACTACAACCATTCTTCTATCAGAGACACTTATATTTTTGTAAATATTCTCAGGTCATGACTCTCACTTGATGTCTCAGTTACTTTGGTGGCAGAGAGACAATTCTGTAATCAACTAGAGCGGAAGGAGAAAAAGGAAGGAAAGATTTAGTTGCCATGGATACCACCTATAATCCAGCAAGGATGCTAATTCACTTCTAATTCATGCACTGGGAAACCACTTTAAAATGATGGCACTCCTGCTGTGAGAGCACGGTGGACCTGCCAGAGCCAAAGTCCATGTAGGCACAGACCAGGGCCTAAGTCAGAAGAGGTGCCAAAAGTTTTAGAAGTGATCTGGTCACTTAGGCAGCAATCCAGGGATAGTAACTGGATCTGGTCTGTAGAAAAGGGAAGAAACGTAGCATAGGCATAATAAGGTGGAGTGGAACCAGTAAGTGGGAATAACAAGGTCGGGCAAGTCAAAACAATCTAAGCAGGAGTTTGAAAATGGAAGAGGACCAGCTCCTTCCTTCCAATGGTCATGGGGAACCTACAAACAGCCAGACCCCTGAATTATCTTCCATCTTCCTTTTCCTGCACAACTGGAGTCAAACAAGACATGAATTTAAGCACAAGGCTGACACATGCAGACATTCTTCTCCTTTATTCAACAGTGGCCATTGAGTGCGAGGAGGATAGATAGAAGATTCAGTACTTTGCCTTTGATCCTATCCTGCCCAGTGCCAAGAAGGGGTGACTGCACTCTGTGGGCAGAGCTCCTTTAGCAAGAGACAGAAATGCAATCCAAACCAGACTGTAGGAAGGGCAAATGGCAAAATCGCTCTCCTGATTTCAACCCCACTTCCAGGGCTGCGACTCGGGAAACCAAGGTTGACTGCATTCTTAATGTCACCTCTACTTCGTTCCGCTTTAGTCTTCCAAAACCTGCTTGGCTTCAGCAGACCGACTGCATCTCCCGTAGCGTAGCTTGGCCGCAGTGCTGCTTCTTGAGGCAAACATTACAAGAGAAAGAGGGGCCAGTTGCTCGCATCCGACTTCTTCCCAGTTATCTTCCCATTGTCAGTCCTAAAAGTGGTCTCCCACTAGCTCGGGATTTAGCATGCTTCATGACCTGTGCTGTCATCTGCCTGCCCTTCTGAGCCTCTGAGGCTACCAACCATGTGCTACCCTTGCCACCAAGTGCCAGGATGCCCAGTTCCCCAGCTACAAAAGCAAGGGTTAATCATGCTGAGCTGGTGTCATTTCTGCACACTTTCTACTGCAACATTTAACCAAGAAGTTGTGCTTTCTGAGGAAACGTGGAAAAAGCAAGGGCTGGGGCGGCAACCAGGAAGAAGAGGGTAAGGGAAAGAAGGAACGCCATACAAGCAAACTGGGAAAAGGATTTCTTTTTGTATCACTGGAAGAGGCTGGATCCCCTGACCAACCCTGCTCCCGGACACCAGCCCTGATCCTGCAAAGGGAAAGAGCATACTGTTCATATTTTGCCTGTATTGCTGAACTGCCAAGCCCGGAGTGTCAACACAATAATTTGAGCTCTGTGGGGGTGGCGGAGAGAGGCATATTAAATCACACTGCATTACTACAAAATATAGTTCAGCTGCTGAACATTTAACTTCTATGAAATTCTAGAATCCTCAGGAGGCGTTTTGAGGAGGAGAGAGTGGCACTGAGGAGATATGAAAGGTATTTCATGTCAGTTGAAACTAAAAATAAAAGACTTTTGCTCAGCTGAGAGAGTTTCACACAAAGTCAATGTATCAGACACACACTGTGAATACAGAACAATCTTTTTCAAGGGTCTCTCACCACCCCACAAAAATTCATTCCTGCCTTTCCTGGATAAAACAGGGATTCAGAAATGTTACACAATCACACCAAATATCCCAGGAAGCCTTAATGCTAATCTGCTTTCTTTCTTTCAGAAGAAGATACTCAAGAAAAAAAAGTGCAAAGATAAGAAGCCTATTTAATTGTGTTAAAAACACACAGAACTGTAAAACTTTATATTTAGTCCATATTTTGCCCTTTAACTCCCCAAAACTGGTCCTTTAAGTGGTTAGCAATAGGAAACCAAGAATGAAATAAATTTAGCGTGCAATAAAATGGGCACTTGACATTACCTGGGGCAACAGGATTATCAGAGACTCACCTCTGAGGTCCTACAGCCTGAGTGCTGGGGCTCAGAAGGCTATGCCCCCAACCCAGCCTTGAATCAGGCACAGGAAGAACCAGGTCAGCTGCCTCTCCAAGGTTGCAAAAGGGGTGCACTGCGGGGCTGCGGAGGGAAGGAACCTAATACCTACAAGTTTATGCTGCATCCAGAAACTGACCCAGCCACCTTCCCTCCCTCCCCTTCTGTGCAGCTTTACCTATATAGTTAAAACCAGCCCTCCACATCAAGTACAAGGGAGGGCGTTCATTGGATACACCTAAGCCTCCAAATTCCAAGGCTCACAAGCACTGAGAGTCAGGAGGTATTGCATTACACCCTTAAGATGCAATCCTATGTATGTGCAGGCAAAAATAAAAGGCTTACAACTCCCAGCATTTCCCAGTTAGCATTGCTCTTTTTCTTTCTGAAGTTGCACAGGATTGTACCTTTACTTTATTTAGTACTGATAAAACAGAAGAGATCCAAATGATGCATTCCAGTTAGATGGGAAGCTAACTTTCATCCAATATAACTTTTGTCAGTCTAACCCAGATTGTCCTTTCTCTTTAGGATCTCTCCTAATATCTACTTGATCTTTCTTTTTTTTAACTTAATGGACCACCAACAGTGCAGCTGAAAATGCAGCAAGTTATTAAACCTGACTGTAAATGTATTGTATTCTTTAGACTGCTTAAGTTTTTTTTTAACTAAAAGACTTTTCCAGTACAAGGTTTATCTGCATAATAACCTCTTCCCAAAAGGAAGAGGTTGCCAAAACATGTTTAAACAAAACGAAAATAAATTTAAAAGTATTAGCAACATTGCACCATTAGCAACATTTCCTTATTAAAGAAATCTTGTGATGTCCAACAGACATGAAACAATCATTTTTGCTGAATAATTGCATCCTAAGATCTACAGGCACGTTTGGTACAGATGCCAATGAAACAATCCATTGATTATGTGGAATACGACAATCCAATCCTTTATTCCATTTTGACTTAAACCCTAGTATCTCATATCATACTCCAATAGCAAGAATATATAGACATGAGTGATGGATCGTTTTGGCCTCAGTAAGTGATTCCTCAGTAAGTGATTCCAATAATGACAGAAACGCCAATGCTGTAGAGGTGGCCCAGCCAAACCTTGATGCTAACAAATGCTGCAATTGCAGGTATCACCTTTCATACTTGACAAACTATCTTTGACACACAGGTTATTTTAAAATATGGGTCAGGTGGAATTCTGAACTGGGTCACAGGAAGAGGAGCAAAGGATGCACAGTGGGAGAGCAAAGGTCCCAGGTTCAGTCCCAAGCAGGGCTGGGAATGCCATGTTTGAAATCCTGGAGAGTTGCTCCCAGTCAGTGTAGACTAGG